TCCGTCCGCGCTGCACAGACGGAGGAAGCTGCGTCGACCAAACACCAACCGCATCGCCGGGATGAGTGCCGGATTGCGCTTACGCGCCCAGTCAAAACAGACAGTCCTGCCGTATCCGCTCGGGTCTGGGTTGCCGTCTGCGTCCAGGGGCTGTCCCGTGAGGTTGAAGAAGTTACGCTTGTCCGACTTGATTGACGCATTCCCAGGTCGCAGGGTGTGCCACGAAGTGACTGTGTGGCACACGAGATGGGTTCCATTCTTCGAATACCCATAGTTGACTGGGAAGTTGACTGGTTGCCGTGCAGCTGCGTCGGCTCGGTAGGCGGCGTCGAGGGCGTCTCTGGCAGCTGTGATGTCGCTGTCGGCGCCGCCTCCGGCCCGGACGCGGTCGACGGTGGTTTTGAGGGTATGCTCGGCGGCGGTGAGGGCGGCGGCGGCGTTGGCGATGGCCACATCTCGGGCGTGACGATCCTCGGGCAGCGGCGAGGTGAGGTACTGCTCCATCCAGGGGCACTCTTGCATGTGTATGCAGCGCTCAGCCGACCGCGGCATGATGCTGCACATGCCGAGGGGGCGGAGGGAGCCGTCTTCCTTGACGAGGCACAAGGCTTTGAGGTCGGCGTCGAGCTGCTGCAGCCGAGGGTGCTCGACGCCCCACGAGAATGCGGTGAAGTAGTTAAGGAGGCACTTGGAGCCACGTTCGCTGTCGGTGATGATGCGCACAAAGTCGTAGTCGACGTGGTTGGGGCCTCCAGCTCTGGTGACGTTGCAGCTGCGAACGAACCTGGCAAAGATCTCTGGCTTGATCTTGTACTTGCCCGCCTCATATCCGGGTTCGTCGCGCATCGCGTGTTCGGGTGGTGCCTTGGCCTGCGGAGTTTTGTTGATGAATTCGTCGACGACCTTTCGGCTCCGGCCGTCTGCAGGTTTGAGCGAGTTGAAGCAGTTCCATGCCTTCTTCCACTCGCGTCGGTTCGCCCAGTAGCTCAATTGTACGAACGTCTTGGCACCAGCTGATGGCTTGGGTCCCAGATCACGCAGTTTGTGCACGGTATTCGGATTTTGCTATTTGCTCGTGTGGGGGTATATCGCAGATTTGTCAATGGTACCGCGTCTGCGACGCGGGCGCCTTGCGGGCAGAGCCCTTAGCCACCCTTTTATCTTGCGCGGTCAAAATGCGCAGCGGCGAGTAGAGTCCACGCCTGCTATTCACAGCACAAGCCCTCGCCGGGGGCTCGAGCATCAGCGAAAGCAACGGATCCCCTAGGAAGAAAAAGACGGAGGTGGTCTCTACTCGCCAGAGACAGACCGCCGAGGAGTTGCGCTCCGTGGATCGCGTCACACCAATCCTCGCTACCCAACGCGGCCAAAGGATATCCACCCCGAGAACCTCGAGAGACCGCCGACGCTTCCCTCGTCTCCGCATGTCCGCGGGCCTTTCGGGTCCTCCGCCCGCGGGCTACACCTCTTACGTCCTCGCGCTGGAGTGGCAGCCACAATGGTCGCTTCGCGCCTGCCCCGGATCTGCGAGCGCCGACCCTCGCCTGATCGAGGCCATGGCGGGATCTCTCGGCGCTTGGGCGCGGCAGAATCTCTCGCTGCACGGCCTGTGGCCCGAGTATACCAACGCGTCCGGGCATGCTGGCTGGCGGTGGCCGCAGTGGTGCAACGCGAGCCGTCTCGACTACCGGGTGTGCGAGCGCGAGGAGGGCCTCGATGGCTGTCAGCCGACGGAGCAGGCGCTCGCCGACTACAACGTCTCTGGCCGCTGGCAGTCGTGGGCGATCGAGTACGCGTTTGGCTCGCTCGCCGCACACGAGTGGTCCAAGCACGGGAGCTGCTCCCCGTCGGCAGAGCAGCAGCCGGCGCAGCTCGAGTACTGGAGCTGGCAGGAGGAGGCGGTGCGGGTGGCGGCGGCGGGCCACGGCAGCCGGCTCGTCTCTGCGAGTGCGGGCGGGGCCGTGCGGAGAGCCGACCTGCTGGCCGCCTTTGAGCGCGACACGGGCGGCCGCGCAGTCGCCCTGCGGTGCGAGGATGCCTGCCGGCTCAGCCAGGTCTGGCTCGGCTTCCGTGCGGAGCCGGCGACACTGCGGCCGCTGCTCGACCCGGACCACGCAGTCGCCGTGTCGGGCGGCTCGTGCGGACAGTGCGTCGCCGTCGCGATCGCCGCGTGGTCGGGCTGCCCACGCCGCGCCACCTTCGACCGCGCCCTCGCGATCGCCGCCGGCGCGCTGCTCGGCCTCGGGCTGCTCGTGTGCGCGCTCCCTCCGCTGCGGCAGCGAGCCGCGCACCTGGCGAGGACTCTCCGCCCCGCCGCGCCGCTCGGGCGGAGCCTCGCCATGTCTCCCGCGCCGCTCGCCGGGGAGAAGCGTGTCGTCCAGCTGCAGGACCTGGACGTCAGGTCGCCGCGCACGCGGAGGTACGTCGAGGGGCTGCTGGCGGCCGACCCGCATGAGCTGCCGCCTCCTCCGACGCTGAGAGCCGCCGGCGGCGCCGCGGCCGGCTAGGCAGCCACTAGGCACACGGGACGCCGTGACGATCATGCAGGGTTAGCCTGGATTAAGATTTTAAGTTGTGAAAGACAGAAAGGAAAAGAGGCTGCCACAGGGAAGGAGAAAGGCAGATGCCGAATTAGTTTTTATTTGGTGCCAGTGGTGCGCGCCGGTCCCGTGCCTATGAAGACACAAAGAAACGGACTTCGGTGGGGCGTTCGTGCACGCGGAGCACGCCGCAGCTCCGTAGCCGCAGGCGCAGCCCCAACTCTTGCCGCTCTTCCGTGTCGGGTTGTGACGAGGGGTGAGGGGACACGGATTGAAGATCCCTCACACCAAGATCGTGCATGGCGGGGACACATGTCCCTAAATCCCATCTCGTCTCCCGCGCCTTTTCTTTCTTGAAGTCGACGCTCGCACGTCATCGAGAGTGCTGCTGTAGAGGACGCCTGATGATGCTGAATCGACGGGGCGTCACATGCAGCGCCGCGGCGTGCTGCGCGCTTCTGCTCTTGTTCGCAGCCGTTTTCCGGCCGCCTCCTCCTCGCGAGCGGACCTGGCAGCCGCGGGACGGAGCCATCGTCTCCATTCGGTCTGTGGAGACAGGCACCCATCTCACAGTGAGCATGGACGACGGCAATCTGTACGCGCCGCCGCGAGGTGCACCGCATAATGCCAGCGCCCAATTTCGCGTGATGGTGCTCGAAAGTTCGCTCGTGGAGGTCCTGCGGGACGCTGCCCGCAGCACGAACTTGGCTGCCTGGGCCCGACACAAGGCGAAGACTGTCTCTGGGTGCGTGTGCTCGGGCTTCGCCAACGACTACGGGTTCGGTGCGTGGTGCGCCTCATGGGAGGACGCGTACCAACAGCCTTGGTGCTATGTGTCGGACGGATGCAAGGTAGCGGACGAGTCGAGCCGCGGCTCGTTTGGGAGGAAGTACGACGTCTGCCCGGCGGGCGAGGCCGACTCGGCGGCGGGCGAGTTCGGGGCGGACGGCGAGGGAACGGATCCCCTGACGGGGGATCCGTTCGAGGATAGGGCGATGGAGGAGGCGGCCTCAGAGAGCGAGTGGCAGGGTGGTGGAGAGGGCGGCGGCGCGGGTGATGGTGGCGGAGAGGGAGAGGGCGAAGGCGAAGGCGAGGGCGAGGCTGAGGGCGAGGGCGAGGGCGCAGGGGGGGCGTTCGACGAGCCGCTGCAAGGGTGTGACTGCTCAGCCGTGTGCGCCCAGGGCGCGCCGTCCCCGCCTCCGCTGCGACCGTCCCCGCCGCCACGCGCCACGACTCCGCCGCCGACGTCCCTGTCCCCGCCGCCGGCGACGTCCCAGCCGCCACCGCCTCGGCCTCCGCCAGTCCGCCAGCCTCAAGCGCCTCTCGGCCTTTTCCCTCTGTCTGGCTGCAACTGCTCCGGCTTCAGGCGCCGACCGCACGCACCGCCTCCCCTTTCTGCCCTGGCCCTGCTCACGCGTCACGCCGCCCGCCGCAGCAACTCGCACGGCTTTGGCGGCTCGTGCGGGGCGTGGGAGTTGGAGAAGCAGACCCCCTGGTGCTACGTCCACCCGGCCTGCCCGACGGTGCAGCGCGCTACCTCTCCTTCGGGCGGATCCTTCGGAAGGCCTTTCGACGAGTGCGGGCCTGCAAGCACCGCCACCCCGCCCGCCACCCCTCCGGGCGCAGCTGCGGCCTTGCAGCGGCTCGTGGGGCCTTCCCTCGACCTGCAAGCGTGGCGGGCCGCCGGGAAGGACACAGCGGGCCATGCCCCCACGTCCGCCCAGCCTGCAGCGACGGGCGTGGCGAGCGAGCGACGGCTCCTCTCGGCGCAGCTCTCGCCTGTCCCAGCCCCCGCCGCCGCTGCGGCCGGTGGGAGGGGCGGCGACGGGGCGGGCGGAGCAGGAGCCGGAGCCGGAGCGAGGAGCGGCACGGCCAACGGTCTAGCTCCGCCCCGCAGCTCCGCCCCGCATCGCAGCTCGCTCCGCGTAGCCCTAAGCCCAGCCCCGCCCCGACAGACGGCAACCGGCTCTCGAGCTTCGCGGTCGAGGCGCAGGTGTACGCCTCGCGCACGGCTTGGGTGGCGCTGCGCTGCGTCGAGACGGGAACCTTTCTTGCAGTGGAGCCGCCGCCCCACGAGCGGCCGCTAGTCGCGCACGGCCGTGCGGACGGCTTGTCGCTCTCCACCGTCTTTGGCGTCGTGCCCGGGGGCTTGCTCTGGGCGCGCGGCACCGACTCGCTGCTCAACGTCTGCGCCGACGGTCAGGTGTGCTCCGGCTACCGCGAGCGCGACGCAGACCCACACTTGCGCCGCCTTGTCCGGCCCACGCCAGGCTCCAGCTTTGTGATGGAGTCGGTGGGCTCTGATGCGAGTGGCCCGCGCCGCAAGTAGAAGGAGGTGTGGAGCAGTCGGTCTACTTGCGTGTGTGTCAAGGTCAGCGCGGTGTGTTTCCTTGTGCGCAACCGTCTGGTCCCCACAGAGTCACTCAACGATGTGTGCGGGCAACACACTCTGTATATCCATTAAACGCAGCGCACGTCACGGTCAGCGGCGCGGGTTTTGATCAAAACCATGGTCAAAACACCCCACACATGTCGTATCGCTGTAGAGAAGTTTCTCCGAGACCTCGGGAGCGGGCAGTTATTCACACCTCGGCAGTGTGGTTTGGGCAGGGGTGGGCAGTGTGGATTTCACACCCGGGGCAGGTAGGGGATCGGGCAGGCAGGGGCAGGGGCAGTTGTGCGGCAGTGTGCGGCAGGCAGGCCCACAAGCAGAGTGGGCAGGTTCGGAAGGGCAGTTGCGAGTTGGGGTCCTAATTGCAGGGATGGGATCCTAAAAAACTCACGTCGTGAAAAAAATGCGCGCATAATTGCTGTAGACCTGAGATTATAACCCCATTCTCACTGAGGCTGCAACTCGCTGCGGCTGGACGCATGCTTCACAATCAGCGTGTGACCGAATCCGAGCTCACACGATGGGCTCTTCTGGCACTGCCCCGGGGTGGCCGGTGGCCGAAAAGCCGGCTTCCCCGAGCAAGTGGGGCACACAAACTCAAAGTCTGGGGTGTTTTCTTCCTCTCGATTCCTCGGCCATCTCTCGAGGTCTCGAGAACCACAAATGGGGACTACGGTCTGAACATGACGCATATGCTCTGAGGTCACAGTATGGGTTCGGCTCCTGTTCAATATATGCCCCATTCCGCGCGACCGCTCGGCACTTGCAGCGACAGCATTCAGTGTGCGGCGGCGATCGATAAAAGGCGCCTGGCCACCCTGCCGGCTGGGCCATCAAAGTGTCACGGTGCTGTGCCCGCGCTTGGCGTCCAGGGGAGATGTGTCGTGGAACTGCCACCGGAACCATGGAATTTCACCTGCGAATACAAGTACCCAGCGGGCGGACGCCCGCGGGGGTCGCCCCTCCTCAAAACAGGTGAGCCGTGCCTCCCCTTGACCGAACACTCGAGGGTCAAGGAGGGTAGCTTCAATGGGGAGCACGAAGAGTGGACCAGCAGCAAGAAGAGCAGGGGTGCATCGCCGCTCAGCAAAGGTCCCCGCGTCGCGGTGATGATCGTCGGTCTAGCTGCGGGCGTCACGAACCCTCTTGTGTATGCCTCCATGCGACATCGACTCATCGAGTCTATCTCCGAACACGTGGATGTCTTTATGAACCTCGAAATCCGCGCAGACATCAAGGACTACTGGAGTCCGAAGCACGCGCAGGAGACATTGATTAGGGCTGGCGAGGCTGGCAGCATTGGCAAAGGTGACGCGAACCTCACCGCTCTGGCAGTGGCCCTGTTGGAGCTGCGACCTAGATTTGTCACGCTGAACGAACCAGCGATAGAAGGCTTTGCTGGCCCTCGTAACGACTGGTTCAGCAAGCCTGGAAGCAGGAACCCAGACTCGCGATGTGCTGGGCATGCTTGGCGTGCTCTGAAGCAAGGCCATCACCCAAAGGTCCCATACGATCGTCTGCTTCGCGCCCGCGACCGTCACCGTCGCTGCATGCTTCTGGTGGAGCTGGCTGAATCGCGGGACGCGCAGACATATGCATGGGTCGTCATGACTCGCCCAGACTTGGTGTTTAACGTGCCGGTCACTCATCACATGCTGCGGGCAAATACGGTGTACTGGAAGGGGCATGTCGACTTTTCTTTGTTCGTCCCGCGGAGCGCTGCCACCACCTTCTTCGTCGATGCCACGCTCAGTTACTGGCGATGTGAGCAAATTAGCGAGACAAGTGGCGAAGGATGGATTACTAAAGGATTCCTCGACGCGCGCGATGCTCATCAAGTACAATGGTTCAGGCCGTGGCGGTCCAACGTGTCGGCCGCAAAGAGTGAGGCGCGTCTGTCAAGGGCCAAGGAGAACGGAGACTTCGCTGGCCGTGTTTGGATGGAGATCTCGCGGGTCCATAGCAAGTCCGCGAGCACCCGGTAGCAGATTTCATATGCCACCGCGAGACGACGGCGGCGCGCCGCCGCCGCCGCCAGAGCCCGCCCGCGCCGCCGCCAGAGCCCGCCCGCACCGGTTCCAGAGAGGCCGCCCCTGCGCCGCGGCCCGCGAGAGAGGCCGCGCCGCCACACGCCTGCGCCACTGGAGCGGGCGCTCAGGGCCTAGTCAAATGATGCCCCGCCCATACGCCCCGGCTGTATGTGTGTATGTTCGGCTTTCTTCACAAAGCGAGAGAGAGAGATCACGAGAGAGATCTCACGCCGCGCGTAGGGCCCTTAGGGGCCTAGAGAACACAACCCGCTCTCCTTTTCTCCCAGTACGTATGTATGTGTGTATGTAGGAAGGTGAAGATAGAACAGCCACGAGCCAGGCTCGGACTGGACACCAACGCGGTATGGGTGGACGCTGGACAGATGATGACGACACGCACGAGCGACACACAGACACAAACAGGCTCACAAGACACACAGCCAGCTGGCTGAGTACGTACTCGAATCTAGAAAAAAATCTCGCGTTGACGCTACCCGACGCCCCCCCCCGGGCCCATTCGCGCTCAGCAGTTAGTTGCGCGCGGCCCCACATCTTGATCTTCCGCACGACGAGCTGACCCCACCGCGCGCTATACACCAGACCGGGACACTGGAGGCCGTCAACACTGTCATTGAACCCCGCCGGCGCTGACGTTGAACATCAAGGCCGTGCCGACACCCGCATCGGCAGCACCGTGGAGACCCAACTCGCTCGCCAGCCAAGCGACTAAGGCCGCCGCCATGCTGACGAACAGAAAGAGGAGCGCCCAGGCGTCCGTCCTGGAGCGCTTGAGCGTGGTGAGAGTGGTCATGGGAGAGAGATGGTACACGGCGGCGAGCATCCACCGCCACACGGTGCCGAGCAGGGCGCGGCCTCTATCCCGCACCAAGCTGGCCGCGGCGTGGGTTTGATGTCGCGTCGTGTACGCGCCGATCTTGGCGATGGCGCGAGGCTGCAGGACGCGCGACACTTCGCGCCGGTTGCTCACCGCGTAGGCGACCGCTGCCGAGCCGAGGGCGCTGGAGAGGAGGCCGATCTCCTCGCCGCGGAAGAGGGTGATGTAGTCTGCGCCAAAGAGCATCGTCTTGATGAGAAGCGCGAACTCCTTCGGCAGCTGGACGCCGTGTTCGTGCAGGAGCAGCTGCCCACGCAACAGCAGCGGATAGAGCGCCGGGTCGATGGTGCCGTCCGCCTCCGGTCGCAGCGGGTTGATAGGTGCGAGCTCGGCGAAGAGAGGGGCGAGGTCGGCGGAGAGGGCCGCCGTGTCGAGAGGTGGGGCTGCGGCTGCGGTCGGCATTGAGCGGAGAGCGAAGGCGAACCCCTCTGCGAAATACGCCGTGTCTCCAAGGACAAACGAGAGCGCCTGCAGCAGCAGCGCGCCGCGCAGCCACGGCGGAAGGCTGCCGCACACGCCAAAGTCGACGAAGGCGATCGAGCTGCTGCGCTCGCAGACAATCATGTTGCCTGCGTGCAGGTCGGCGTGGAAGAGGCCCCCCGCACCGGCCACGCCCGAGTCGTCGAGCACAGAGAGCGCCTGCACGGCGAGAGCTCGCGCGAGAGCCGTCTTCCAAGCGGCCCCCGCACCCTGCGGCATGAGCGGCGCATCGCTTGCCTCCGCAGCCTCGTCGGCCGCCTCCGACGTCGCATCCCCCGTCGCAGGCGTGCTGCGGCTCCTCTCACTGCGGCTCCTCTCACTGCGGCTCCTCTCGCGCATCTCCGAGAGCACCTCTCCGTCAATCCGCTCCGCAGTGAGCACAGCGGTCGAGCAGGCGGCCTCGACCGGCTCCGGCACGGTGACCGCCCCGTCGAGTCCCGCACGGCGGACGGCCGCGGAGGAGCGCAGCCACGAGCGGTACCTGGTCAGGGATGATGGGCGTGTGAGGAGGCACTGTTCGACGGAGCCCCGCTTGGGCGGCTTGGGTGATGCCGGAGCATATTCGCGCGCTCGATCGTCAGGTCGCACTCGGCCAGGATGGGCACTCGTACCTCGTCCACCATCGCGGCAGCCGAGCTCGAGAGCAGCTCGGCGATGAGGGGCGCCATCAGCACGTCGGCCACCCGGGCGAGCAGCCAGAGCACGCCCAAGTCGACCGTGAGGCGCTCTCGCACGCCTGGTCGCACAACCTTGACCACCACGCGCCGCCCGTCGCGAAGCGTGCCGCCGTGCACCTGCGCGATGCTCGCCGACGCCAGCGGCGCGCGCTCAAGGCTCTGGAACACCTCCTCGACGCTCTCGATCTGCAGCTGGTCGCAGATCAGGGACTCGACTTCGTCATAGGGTACCACCGGCGCCGAGCACTGAGCGAGGGATGATTTGCACGTGCGAACCAGCACGGCAGGCGCGACCATCGGCGAGTGCGCAATCACTTGGGACAGCTTGACGAAGCTGGCACCGAGTGAATCGAGCAGCACCCCCGTCATTGCCGAGGCGAGGGTGCGAGGCGCCCACATCGCGCCGCGCCAATCTAGGCCTCGCATGCCCGTGTAGACGTCACGGGCCCGCGCGACAGCGACAGGCGGGACGTCGTGCCGTAGAAGCATCCACGCGCACCGCACGATGTCACGGCTCTCCTCGCTCGCGATCCGGCGGGCGGTGTCGACGCTGAAGAGGACGGAGAGGACTCGCCACGGTGTGATGCTGACGTTGGCGCGCGTTGTGGTTGTTAGTTCAGCGTCGGCGCGTGAGTTCATTGGGGAGAGAGGCAGCACGTCCAGCATTCCTTCCGAGACTTTTCCAGTGTACGACTTGTAGGTTATAGCTTACTGGGAGAAAAGAGAGAGGGGGTTGTGTTCTCTAGGCCCTAAGGGCCCTACGCGCGGCGTGAGAGCTCGGAAGCGAGCTTTGCACGGCGATCGAGGATGGCACGGTTCACCCCCTTAACCGAAGCGATGGAGATGCGTTCCGCGTGGTGTGACACAAATGAGAGGCGGGAGTGGGGAGGGTACGCGGTGCGGTCAACGCCCGAGCGTTGAGCCTTGCGCGCAAGGCGGTTGATCTTTGCAACTGCTGGCGGCGAGAAGCCGCCGCCGAATGTCTCGTGGACGTAGCTCTTACGTACATTCCAAACAACTCTAACACTCACACGTAATTTGGGGCCTGGAGCCCTGTTCACGCGCGCGCGTACATTCCCGGAGGAGGACTGCTGACGGGGTTTGCGATGAGGAGCGATCCGAACGTGCTTTTCTGCGCCGGAGAAAAGGCGCGTCAGAATTTTACAACAAAACTCCTCGCACAACACTGGCGCGCACTGAAAATGCTTATTTTTTCTTTCTTTTGTCGGACATGTTCAGGACACTCTCGCAGTAGAGAACAGCGACAGGGCCAGCGGAGGACGACGCGTCGTAATGAAGCGCATTACTCTATTAAACAACCAGAACCAGAAGCAGCGAACGGTAGTCGTGACCGCGGCCGCAGCCGACCTGGAGGCGCTCGCTTCGGCGGCCAAGAGCAAGCTGCGCCTCAAGCGCGTGACGGCCTTCTACACGGAGGACGGCACGATCCTCCAGCCGGGCGCACCGCTACACGACGATCAGAGAGTGTTGGCCTCGGTCGGCGAGCGCTTTGTGGGTGCTGCGCCGTTTGTGCCGATCGGACAACTCGCCGCTGTCGGAGATCTTCATGGCGAGCGCTTTGAGCTACCGGGCGAGAAGGGCGCCATCTGCTGGCTGCCTCTCGGCGGCGGCCGCCTCTGCTTGTGGCACCGTCCCTCCAGGCGAAGTTTCAGCAAGCTTCAGCAGTCAGGCTGCTCAACCATCTGCACGCTCCTCGGCGCTAACGAGGGCGCCGATGGCATCGGCGCCGGCGCGCGGGCGGCAGGGCTGAATTGGCTGTGGACCGAGCTCAAGGTAGGTAGGGAAGACTACCTGTCGACAGATGAGGCCGCCGAGCGGGTCACGCGCGCGGTGGCCGACGTGCAGGCGGCGCTCTCGAGGGGGGAGAGTGTGCTCCTGCACTGCTCCGCAGGTCTGCACCGCACCGGCACCGTCGCCTTCGGCGTCCTGCGCGCATGCGGCTGGGCTCCCGTCGAGGCGAAGCGCGGCCTGCAGCTGATGCGCCCGGAGACGGCAGAGCAGGTGGGAGAGACCCGCTTGGCCCTGGTGGAGCGGACCATTCTCGCTCGAGTACCCCCGCCGCACGTTCAGGACGAGGTGGTGGGGGGACAGCCAGCACACGAGGTGTCGGAGGCGTGAGGTATCCGTTTTCCCTTTTATTTTCGCGATGTCCGCCGGGGCAGTGAGGTATCAGGGGCTCTGTACTACATGTAGCACTTCTCAGGGCTAGCCTTAGAGGAATTTCTTTCCTCGCGACATGTCCGCCGCGGCCCGCGGCGCCGCCCGCCCGCGACCAGGCTCCTCGCCTCCTCGTTGCCACCAGGATTCGCGACGTACGGTTTTGGGCGGTTAGGAGAGGTACCAGCGTCAGGGGATTTGGGGTAGGGGGGTAGGGGGTGCCCCCCCCAAGCCATTCCGCGTTCCCGCCTCCACGGTAAGAGAGACAAACGTGAATAGAGATCCACGAACCCCCACCATCGCCGCCGCACCGAGGTGAGCCCCAGCTCGCGTACCGAGCATTGTGCGGCTTCCCGACTCCCTGCCAGCAAAAAAAGAAAAGAAAACATCGACTTCCGCCAGGGGGCCCGCGGGACGCGGGATTTCTCCACAGCTCTCCGCTCCCCAGCGCTATCTTGCATGCCAGGCACGCTCAATGCCAAGGAGAGGCGGTCCGCGGCTCGCAGGGAGCGCTCCAGCAACAGCGAGCATTCCAATGAGCTGTCGGCGAGAGAGGGTGAGCAGGCCGGCGAACGAGCCGCCGCCTCGGATGCACCAGCCACGCGGCCTGATGAACCAGCAACAATTCAGCCTACTCCCGGCGGCCGGCCATGCTACGCCGACCTGTCGTCCGACGTGTGGCTAGTGCTTCTCGAGCACCACCTCGACACCCGCAGCCTGTGTGCGATCGCGCGCACGTGCAGTTTTCTCGCAGAGCTGACGTCGAGTCGGCGCTTGTGGGCAGGCCAGTTCCTGCGCATGTTTGGCGACCGCAATGGCAGCCTTCTGACCAACCGCTACGAGAGCGCGGGAGCCGACGCGCTCGCCGGTGAGCGGGAGATCGACAGCAGGCGGCGATGCTGTGTGAGCGAGGCAGCGCTGGGAAGCTGGCGGCGGCTGGGCGCGCAGCAGGCTGCACAGCTCCCGCTGCCGGATATGACCTCCGTCGCCCTGGATGGCGAGCGGGGGCTGAGCACGCACGGCGGCCGGCTCGTGCGACTCTGGGCCGTGCGCAGCGGGCGCCGTCTCAGCTGCCACACCCTCCGGCACGCGCCACTCTGCTGCCACGCCGCCGGCGACCTCGGCGCCGTCGGCGACGGGAGCGGGGCAGTGCACGTGTATGACCTCGCCGCCGACTTCGAGCCGACGTCGCGCGCCGCGCTGCCGATCCGCCCAAGCAGCGTCCTCCTCCTCGCGGCGGGCACGGAGGCGTCGCTGGTGGCGAGCGGCGGCGAGGGTCAGATCGCGCTGAGCCGCGCAGACGGAGGCGTCTTGCTCGGGCTGCGCGCGCTGCAGCCGGCCGTGCTGGTCGGCGCGTCCCGCGAGCTGCTCGACGTCTCGCTCGCGGCCGCCGGCGAGCGCGGCCAGCTCTACAGCGTGACCGCCGACGGCGGCGTCCACCTCCTAGACACGGCGCAGGGCCTCGCCGCCGTGTGGCGGAGCGGCGGCGGCGGCGGCGACGCGGCCGACGTCGACACGCTCGCGCACTCGTTTGCGGTCGAGGCGACGGTGGCGGGCGGGCAGCCGTGCCGCCCCGTCGCCAGCGCGAGCTACTCGGCGTGGTGGCGGCTGCTCGCGGCGAGCGCTGCGGGCGGCGGCGTCGCGTTGTGGGACGCGAGGGCGCCGCCGTCGAGTGGGCCGGCTGGTCTCGTGCGGGCGGAGGGTAGGGGCGGCTGCGTGCACCTCGACGACGGCGGCAGCTGTGGAGGGCAGCTGCTCCTCGCTCCGTCGGGCGGGCCGGCGATCCTCGTCTACGACGTGCGGCGCGTGGGCGGCTCCGCCCCGCCGCCGGTCGTGGGTTCGATCAGCCTGCCCGCGCCGCACCGGCTCGGGGCCCTCGCCGCCGACAGCCGCACCCTTGTCTGTGCCGGCGGGGCGGGGAGCTCGTGCGCGTTCCGGTGGGAGCCTCGCCGCCCGGGCGCGGAGGAGGCAGCCAACGACGACGACTCGCTTGCGGGGCTCTCCGTCGGAAAGCAGCGCAAGACGAAGCGAGAGCGGCAGGGCTCGAGAGGCGACGCCGCGACCAAGGTTCGTGGCGGACAAAAGGAGCGCGGGACCGGAAGGAGGGGGAATGCGGGGTCGTTTTGATGTGCCTGCGTGGCCGTGGGGGCGAGGAGGGGGGACAAGACAAGATTGGGTGTATAACACGAAGTTTCTTGTTACGATCAAATACATGACATGCTGTACCAACCCCACGCCGCACGCGCGCCCGCGAACGCGGCACGCCCGTCGGCCGCCCGCGCGCGACCGCCCGGCGGCGGCGCGGCGCTGCCAGGCCGGTCTCTGAATCTAAACAGCGACCGCTTCCCAAGAGGCGCGACGCAGACACATGGGCGCCGCCACGATAGCTTTAATCGAAGCTGCCACTCTCCACACGAAGCGCCTCCCCTCACCGCCGCTGGTTGGCCTCGACTCTCTTGACGCCCGACGCGAATGAGTCTGCCGACGCCTCCGGGATGTCGAGCAGGTCCATGATGGTCTTGAGGATCTCGGCGCTCTCGACCACCTCCTTGCGTGACTTTGCGAGGTATCGCTCCACCTCGCTCTTGCCGCCTCCCGGGTTGGCCTCGCCCCAGGAGGAGGTGTACGCCATCACGTTGGCAGCGTCGCACTTGCGCGTCCACCGGTCCACCGCGTCGGTGTACGCGTCGAGGTCCTTGTCCGAGGCGACGAGCTGCTGCGCGCGGATCATGAGCTGGTCCGCCTTGAAGAGCGGGTCCTCCATCGACTTGAACCCCATGTACGACTGCACAATCACCGGGTCGCGGATGCAGCCGCACTGCTCCGGCGCGCCGACGCAGCCCTTGATGCAGACTGTCGTGAGCTTCTCCCAGTTCTGCAGCAGATACTGGAGGCGCGAGTAGCCCTGGGCCAGCCGCCCCAGCTCCTGCTGCGTGGGCACGCCCGCTGCGGCGGTGGCCGGCGCCGAAAGCTGAGAGAGCGAGAGCGCAGCGGCGGCCGCGGGCACGGCAGAGAGGAGGTGGCGGCGGCCGAAAGCGGCGGCCCCGAGCGAAAGCGGCGGCGCGACACGGCGCTCCAGCAGCGGAGGGCGCTGCAGCGAAAGCGAGAGCGTGAGGAGAGAGAGCGTTTGCATCCGAATTGCCCAGGCAAAAACGAAGGCGCCGCGCAAAAGAATTTTAATAGGCGGACACGATTCACGCGACAGGCAAGGCACGGGCGACGGCTTCCTCAGAAGCCGTCGTCCTCACCGTAGCCGTCGTCGGACCCCCAATCAGGGGGACAGTCGAATCCGCGAGCACCGCGGTGCTCGCCGAAAAGACCATCCCCATCCCACTCGTCCCCTTCATCCCAACCCCCCCCACCCGCGCGCCTACCCCGCCGATGGCCGGTGGGGCGGGAAACCCCGCCCCGCCCACCATTGCGCAGCAGGGGTTCGAGGTCCTCGCTGAGCAGCAGAAGCCGCCCAGCCCGGACCTCGTCCCTCCACCCCTCCCTCTCCCAGCACCGGTCACCAGCCTAACCCTCCACCACCACCACCTCCCCACGCCTCAAGCCCGAGCCCCCTTCGGCCCAAGCCACCACCCCCCGCCTCCTCTCCCGCACCCCCTGCCGTCGACACGAGCCGAAATGGTAGTGGTAGTTGTACTCCGCCGCGAGCACGTCAGCCATAGCGCCACGCGCCTCAGCCGAGAGCCGCCCGAAAGCCGCCACGACCGACCGCGATGGCGCCGAGGATGGGCCGCTCCAATTCCTATCCCACTCCGCGCACGCCTCGAGAACCGACGCCTCCTCCTTCGCCAGCACCTTCGCCAAAGCCCCACGCGCCGCAGGCAGCTCGGCCGCCGCCGCCGCCTCTTGAGCCTCACGCTGCATCTCGTTGAAAGCCAGCCGCGCAACCTCCTCCTCCCTCGTCTCCTCTCGCCCCAGGACACGAACCGCTCCCTCAAGGAGGATCCGCGTCCACCGCTCCTCCTGCTGCTCCTCCTCCTCCTCCTCCTCCTCCTCCTCCTCGGCCGCCGCTCGACTCGCCGACGGCTCTGACTCTCGCCGTCGCTCGGCTCAGCGACGGCCTCGCCGATGGCCTCGCCGTCGGCTGCTTCGCCGATGGCTCTGATGTCGGCCGTCTCGCCGTCGCTCGACTCGCCGACGGCTCTGTCGCCGTCGCTCGGCTCAGCGACGGCCTCGCCGATGGCCTCGCCGTCGGCTGCGTCGCCGACTCAGCTGTCGGCTCTCTCGCCGTCGCTCGACTTGCCGACGGCGTTCTCGCCGTCGCTCGACTCGACGGCCTCGCCGATGGCCTCGCCGTCGGCTGCGTCGCCGACTCAGCTGTCGGCCGTCTCGCCGTCGCTCGACTCGCCGATGGCTCTCCAGCCGTCGCTCGACTCGCCGATGGCTCTCTCGCACGACTCGACGGCCTCGCCGAAGGCAGTGCCATCGCTCTCGCCGTCGCTCCTTTCGGCGGCCATTGCGCTGACGGCTCCGTTGCTGCCGCCGATCGGCTCCACTACGGCGCCGATGACGCCATCGGCCTCTCTGCCGCCGCTCCACTCAACGGTGGCGCCGATAGCACCATCGGCCTCGGCCTCTCTGCCGCCGCTCCACTCGAAGGTGGCGCCGGCGAGAGCACCATCGGCCTCTCTGCCGAAGCTTGTGTCGATGACCTCGCCTGTAGCCTCTACAGCGTCGTCGGCTCTCTCGTCGTCACCTACATCGGTGGCATCAGCGCTGCCAGCTTCTGCACCGTCGCCTGCATCGACAGCATCGCCGACGGCCCCTGCAACGCTGTCCGCTACTTCATTCGTGGCTTAGTAGAGCAGCCACAGGCTCTCTACTCTGAGGGACACTTTCCTCTCGTCGATCGGGAGTTACTCGACTCCGTCGAGGGGGGGGATGTCCGAACCACCGCGTGTCCCGGTCCAGCGTGTCCCTCTCTCCATTCACACTCTGAGGGAGGGTGTAGAGGATGTAGAGTGTAGAGCGCTGTAGAGCTGTAGAGATGTAGAGCGCTCTGGAGCGCTGTAGAGCAATGTAGAGCTGTAGAGCTCTACATCCACCGCGTGACGAACTGCCTCCGTTGTAGAGCGATGTAGAGGCGCTCTACAACGTGAAATCTCTACAACAAACTCTACATCATAAGCGGCGAACGAGGCACGGTCGCTCTCCGACATGAGGCGCGTTGCACTTGCCAGTGCTGCCCTGGCCTTCTGTCTGCCCGCCCAATGGGTGGCAGGTGCCTCTGCTGCTGTGGCATGCCTCGCGGCTGCGACTGGCCGGCGCCTCGGCGCGTCAGCTCGGCTCGGCGTAGCGATCGTGGCCAGCGCAACTCGCTTGGACTCAACGCTCAGCCAGGAGCTCCCGCACGCGCTGGCGCGAGTCATGGCGCATGCAACGCGTCTAAATGCTCGCCTCGCCTCGCGCAAATGCGACCGTCCTCGCAGCCGACAGTCCACCGCCTGCTAAAGAAGCACAGCGACGAATGCGGCACCGGCGACGCATGGCAGGCTGGTCATGACGCAGTTATAGGGTGTTGTGTGCCGTCAGAGTGACTCTCTGTGTGTCAGGGATAGTCAGGGCCGTCCATCAGAGCTCCAGTAAGCTCGGAGACACCCCATTAGTGCGACTCGACCTCTTTGAGTCACTGCCTTCCCGGCGGTTTGGCTGTAGAGCCTCTACAACCAACTCTAC